GGGTTCAGGGTTTTAGGATTCAGGGTGTTAGGGTTCAGGGTTTTAGGAGTCAGGGTTTTAGGGTTCAGGGGTTTAGGGTTCAGGGTTTTAGGGTTCAGGGTGTTAGGATTCAGGGTTTTAGGGTTTAGGGTTCAGGGTTTAGGGTTGAGGGATTTTCGGTTTCATCGCTGTGCGCTCTAGACCTTCAGGGGTTTAGGGTCAAGCAAGTAAGCAGAGCCAGGAGAGTGAACAAGTCATGGCATGGGGGTTTGGCGTCGATGATGCCTGGCCCTAGTAATGCGGATTGAGGGTTCGGGGTGAGGATTTCATCGTTACCTGGGCCCCAAAGAACCTACCGTTTTTGGGCTCCTTATTATAATTTCTTTTTTTACATTCGCCCTTAAAAAGGTAGGTTCTTCGGGGTTCAGGTATAGTTTGGTTTTGGGAGAGTTCAATGACATGGCTCTAAGTTACGAAGGACTCGGAGCTGAGGACTTTTTGCACAGGAGAGCCCTCAGGGCTCACTTTTCCAACCAGAATCTATATCTTTCTAGGTTTCCTTAAAATTCCACACCAGAGTGTACGCTAAGACTCTGTCCAAAACAGGGTGGCGTTGGGGTTGAGGGGACACAAAGCTTGTCACTTTTCCAGCCTTAGATTAGGGCACTTCTTCAGCGTTGCTTCACTGATGCACCGCCGTAGACTCCTACGAAGCATCCTTTCCAGTTGTGCCGTGATTCAGATTCCGGTCGGGACCGCTTGTATCCCGAAGTTCTGACAGCCTTTATCTCCCTCTTCTGTCTCTCTGATTCCAGCCCGAAGGGTCCTGGTAGCATGAGAGTAGGCTCTTAACAGATATTTGGGCCCCCAAAGTATGTACTACACTGTTACTTGGACAATTTGGGCAGGTAGATGGCTGGTTCACAAATTAATTGTTGCATCATGCGACCGTTACTGCTCGGTTGCGGCGACGTCGAAGCGACGGTCGCTAGTTTGTGAGAGCAAGAGAGGGACAGAGACCTGATAGCGTAGCCTTTTGAACAGCTGAGTTGGCAGATAGGACTCCAAAGACACAGAAAGCATATGTCTGCGCCAGCATGCAGTAAGAAAGGTTCTGCATAGTTAGTGGTATCATACCCGTTATAGTTCCTGTAGAATGCAGCATGCAGTAAGACAGGTTCTGCATAGTTAGTGGTATCATACCCGTTATAGTTCCAAAGCCTTATCCCGATTGCCAAAGCATCATGGCCCCCCCAAATCAACGATCATTCCAGACTCGGTCGGGACCTTGCCGCCGATGGAGGACTTTGCATCGAAACTTCGGGAGCGAATGAATCGAACTGAGGACCTGACCTATGTACGGAGCGACCAGCACCTTAACCTGGCGGGATAGCCCCTTTTTTTGGGTTGAGGCTCCTATGCTTAACCCTTATATGTCGGCTTCAAAGGGATGAACTATGTAGGTATGTACTATTTGACTGATTGATCCACATATTCCCTTTACTCGAATATGTTGAACTTATAGCTAAACCCTAAGCCCTAAACCCTAAACTCTAAACCCTAAACCCTAAACTGTAAACTATAGGATTATAGTTTTTGGTAGTTCCAGGTACATCTTGTTGGGCGAGCTGCTGACAAGTCCAGAGCTGAGCGAGGCCATGTGTCTCGCTGGCATCGACGACGGCAGCGGCGTGAACTTTCAGAAACTGGGATTAGGGTTTAGGGTTTAGGGCTTGGGGATTTTGGGATGAGGGTTTAGGGTTTAGGGCAAATCTCGAATACATACCAAGGTCTTGTTGTTCTGGCATTTTTGGTTCTTGCAGTCTACTAGTCACCTGAAAGTTTAGCCCCCTTATTTCTGCGGCTTCTTGGCGGGAGCAAGGAAAGACTCCGGCAAGGTGACACTGACCCCTGAAATCAACAGCTTCATAGAGCAGATGGTAGAAAATTGTCAGCTCCAAGAGGGGGAGAAGGTGTTCGACTACTGGGCTGATACCGGCGTGGGTAGTTGGATCCGGCTCGCAGGCAAGCGACAGAGCCAAGGCCAATACCAATACCGCCGCTACTCGCATGGTAGCGGCAGCACCCATAGCCATATCGGCTCCTACAGTGGCGGAAACGCCACAAGACCAGCTCGCCAGGTCGAGTCTTGCCCGCCACGGTCTGCACAGTTCCAAGCCAGAGCCTTGCCAGGTTGGGTGACTCGGGTGCAAAGTGCCGATGGCGTGGCCACTCCAGCTACCAGGACGATGCCTGCCGCCGCATCATCCGCGTTGCCTGAAGAGGCTTCACTCCCACCATCTTCCGCGTCAACATTTCTCACGGAAGAGGTTCTCCCGAAGGCGCAACCAGATCGACCTCCGCCGCTTTCTTCCGAGAACACGCCGCAGAACTCGAGTCACGTCGTGGCTCAGGCCATTCTCAAGCGGAACAAGGTCTCCAACAAAATGAAGCATGAGAGCACGGGCGCGCCTGAGATTCAAGTCGCGGCGCCGGCGCCCGCACCGACGCCCAAGCCCCCGCCAGCAGAGCTTCGGCAGGTGGCCCCGGCCCCACCGCCCAGCATCCCATCACCTCAGGAGCCGATCAGACCAGTGCAGCCCCCGGCACCCGAGATCGCTCCCGAGCAGGCGAAGGAGCCCTGGGAGCTGCCAGAGGTCAGCAAAGCCTGGCTCCGTGGGAAGCTCCTTAGGGGCTGACGAGGTAATCTTTACGCTTTTTGGTGCTTAGATCGTCCTACTTTGATTTAAAGAACTTCAAAGGTTAAACTTTTTGGGGGGCTAGGGTACTCAGCCCTTATATCAGGCTTCGCTCCTACCATCCGGATCAAGCCTGTGGCTACCTGGCCATTCCGGGACGAGGTGAGCTCCTCCTCAGGGCCAGTGCCATCGAGGGAGATGTCCCGCCGGAGCTCGCGGAGGGATGGCAGATCGAGGTCGAGGTGGGTGGTTCTCCAAGTGTTGGGTCCCCTGTTGAGACCCTCAAAATCGTACGGAACCCTTCTAAAAAGGGCCCTAGAAAGGGACCCTAATTTAGAGAACTACCCAGGTAGAGGATTTGGAGAAGGTTTAGATCCTCAAAATCGTACGGCACCCTTATGAAAATCCCTAGAAGGGACCCTAATTAAACTAGAGAACTACCCAGGTAGAGGACTTGGAGAAGGAGCCACGCATTCTGCGTGCCAAGGTGGCCGCCGCCCCAGCGCTGCCGCTCAAAGAGAGCCGCGCGCCTGCGGAGGCTCCGGCGACCAAGCGGGGCAGGATCAAGACTTTCATGCTGGAAAAGGGTTTCGGTTTCTGCCAGCTGGAGGAAGCAGATCGAACAGTCGATGTCTTCATCCACATCAACAGCTTCGAAGGGCCAGCGCCGGAGGACTTCCACGGCATGCCGGGATCGCCCCCAGTCGGTCAGGAGGTTGAGATCAAACTCGGCGACAACTCGGCAAGGCCAAGGGCCTGCTGGGCACGTGTCGTCGGGCCGGCCTTGCCCATAGACAAGGCCAATGCTCTCTCAAGCTGCCTGAGCCATGTGCTGAAGTCTGCCGAACGACTGCTCGAGGGGAAGCCGAAAAAGAGAGGGTGGCACAAGCTCGTGGACATCTTGGCTACGGACTCACTTCGTGTGGCCGTCACGGCGTATTCCCCCAATGGAGTAGCGGAGATCAAGATGGGCATCGTCCCAGAGCCTTTGATGAACTGTCTGCACGACCTGGCGGTTTGCGTCGTGGCGCCGACACCGGAAGCGGCAGCTGAAGCGATTGCCGGGAGTGTGCCGAGCACCGCAGAGGCATCGGAGTCCAGCTCTCGCTTCCACTTGTGGCTGGAGCAGGAGGCATCTTCGGGCCTTTGGGGCTGCCTGCTTTCGGAGTATCTAAGTTACGTGCCTATCTACCAGAATCAACAGCAACTGGTATTGAATATAAGTATATATAAGTATTGTTGTTAGAAAAGAAGCTATCGTAACAACAGTATACTCTACTGTTAGACTCAGACAGAGTGTAATGGGCTAGCCAGCTTCTGGGGCTAGGAAGCTGAGCGCCTGACGCCCTAAACCCCAAACCCCTAAGCCCCAAACCCTAAACCCCTAAGCCCTAAGCCTAAACCCTAAACCCTACACCCGAAACCCCTAAACCCTACTGGTAAACCCTAAACCATAAATCCTAAATCTTAAACCCTGCACCCTGAACCCCTAAACCCCAAACCCTAA